ACTGTCATCCATCTGCCTGCACCCTACTGCAGCCAATGGGATGGAACCATGCTACAATGTGCTATAAGCCATTTAGAGTTGCACATTGCATAATCAGGCCCATCAAATATGTAAAAAATGACTATTATTGGTTATTTCCCTCCAACTCTGGCACCTGGAGTTCGAGGCATTAAAGTTTAACTTTTGGAAGTGCTGCTGTTCTTTTTCCTTCTTTCATTCCCCCCACCCTCCCATTAATTCTAAATATATTTTTGCTAAATAAGACCAAGTTGCAAGCTCATTGTCTGAAGTCTTGCTAACGGATTGCAAAAGTTGCATGAATATTCATTGAAAACACCACTCTATATATCGCGTAGGGTGAATTTATCAATTGCCCATACAGAGGGGTTTCACCCAATTCCCATTTTCTTCAGCAATGTCTATTTCTGAGGCATGAATAAAAAGTAAAATCAATTCCGATCACAAATTGGTTATTTTCCTTATGGCAAACATTAGTTAGTTTGAGCACTTCTTATAGATTTTTTTTAAAAAGAAAAAAACAAGAAAGTATTACACAATGCATCTTCACAAAAAGATTGCCGTAGTGTAGCGCAAGTGATTAAAATTGGGACCTTTGTGCTGCATATACGAACATTAAAATATCCTGACATTAAAAGTGGCATAAGGAATATTTTTAATATGTGTGCATGTGCCTGTGTATTTTAAGCAGCATGATTGCCACAATATGAAGACCAACTGAATGAAAAGAGAGTTTTGGCACAGTTGACATCTCTAAAGAAAAAAAAAAAGAAGAATCAAGCCCAAAGTGTGCAGAGCAAGTTTGCATTCCCTGATAGCACCAAAGCTATCGAGGAGCGGGGTTAAGCCTCCGGTGACAGGGCACGTTTCTGCGCTGGGCAAGAGGAAGACGAATTGGCTAAGTTGGGTGTTTATTTATACCACCGAGAGGGCAGGACATAATTTAGTTGCATCGGGAATTTTTCACAGACATTAAAACTATAGCAAACATAACAGCGGGGATGCTTGCACAGCAGCACAGTGGGGAGGCGCGCGCAGCGTCTGCCCACACTCCGGCTGGCTGTAGCCAGCGCCATAAGTCTCACAATTCCATTAGCGCTCAAAAATCCACCTAACTCAGTTCCCAATTTAAAAAAAAAACAAAATAAAATAAAATAAGCAAACCGAAAAAGCCCCAAACAAGACCTGTCTTTCTCTCAACAGCCAAATCAGTCAGGAATTGTTGGAGGGAAAAAATTAAAAAGAAACTCTTGGCAGGCAGGTTTTTGCTGCAGCAACAGTGTGTGACGTTTTAACCGCAGCAGAAATTGTATCCAAAAAAGCAAAATAAGGTGAGAAGGGCTGGGAAAGAAAATGAGAGGAAAGTGTGCTTAGAAAAAAAAAAATACAGATTAGGTGACAGATCAATAGGCTGATGGTTTATGCAGAATCATAAATCAGTGTTTTTTCAGCAATTCAGCTCTGAGAGCATGAAAAAAAAAAAAAAAGAAATGTTGCTCGTGATAAAATTAGGCATTAATGTGAGCTATAAATGCCGTTTAACATTAAACATGCCCACGCAAGTGCAGTACCCGGGAAAGGGAAATGGGTCCTCGAGTGAAACTCTGCAAAGTGAGTCGGACATGAATAATGCAGCGGGGCCGAGGGGGGCCGGGGTCGGGCTGCGCTACCTTGCAAAATAATGAATGCATGTCAGGTTGGAGACATATAGCCCTGCCCCACGAACGTGAGTTATTGGAGATAAACCTGGCGCTTCCTGCTCGGAAACAAAGTGCCTTGTTGTAAACATCCCCGTCCATTTAAAGTTAATGATTAAAAGAAAGATTCGGCGGGATTTGCTTAAGTGTTCTTTATGGACACGAGTGCTAAAGGTTACTTTTTTCGTTCATTTTTACCCGGCCACTGTTAATGTTGCAGACACATCATGGCTCTTTTTTTTTTCTCCTATGCTCAAATGTTTATTCAAGCTCATTTACAAAGGAGCTTATGTAATATTAAGTGATTTTTCTCAATGCATTCTTCATTTAAATATAAACAAGAGAGCATCTCTGCAGTTCTGCTCTGTTAAAAGGGAGGCAGCCCTATTTTTAAAGGCAGTAACCCAAATTCTAAATATACGTTCTATGAAAATATTGCATAGACTACCATCTGCGACTCGCTGCAGAGTATCTTCATCTGCTGAAATTATCACCTACATCTTCCATATTTTTCCCAGAATGTAAAGGGGAAAAAAATAGAAAAAAAAAAAGGATTAAACATCCTCTCACTCTTTATTCGATATACATGATTCTGATGATTTTATTGCTTCTGAAATCCATTCAGGGAAAAGAGAGTCTAACTTTCTCAAAAGTGGATCATTTCCCTAGATTCCCTGCAATTTTCACTACTAAAAAGTGTTTATCAGATTTGGCCTCTTTCATTTTCTAGACCTCACTGGAGAATTTAACACAGAAATCTTCCTATTTAGGAATCCAAGGGAGAAAAATTCTATGAAAGCAGAATTCAAGGCTTCGCAGCAGAAAAGCAAATACATAGGTATTGCAATGGAAACATAAGATCTTGCATCTGATCTGTTAAGTATTCCATCAACAAGGTCAAGAGTAAAGACAAGCCCAGCCACTAAAGCTGAAGCAAGAGTAAGCTTCTTTTTTTTAAAAAAAAGGAACAGTTTATACTCTTCAGTTTCTTGAGTGGAAAAAAATGAATTCTTTTACACTGAGGAAAAAAAAAAAAAAAAGAAAACACAAGCGTATACAGTGTTTAAAAAAAAAAAAAAGAACAATATGAACCATTTTAATGAAAGAGTGCCCAGTATTTTCATGGAACTATAAAAGGGAGTGAGAGTAAGTGTTATGGCAAAAAGCCTGGGCTCAGCAGCTTTGTGTGGGAAATGGTGAAATGTGACTGTGATTTATAATGAGAAAAGGTATCTACAACATACAATTTTCTACCTAGCTGCAAATAATAATTCATAGTGATGTCCCTTCCAGATAAAATACCTTTGCAATGTAGGACTCATGTGGTAAAATGATCATGATAAATGTCAGACCAGTGCAGGTAACGGCTTTACAAACCATTAAGATTAGCTAGCTCTTTTTTTTTTTTTTTTTTTTTTTTTTTTTTTTTTTTTTGATGATAACAGTAACCATGCTGTGACTCTACGTGGTAATAATATCTCAGTACTGATAAATGCCAGAGCCAGGCAAAGGTGTTTATCATCCCCGCTCAGAAATGCTGACTAAAGTTACCACATGTTGCCTGTTTTTTCTTCTTTTACAATAGACTGACAATTAGCAAATAGGCTGACTCGCCTCATAATTTTATGCACAGTTTCCAGGATTTTCTGCCGTAGCACCTCGCTCAGCTTCCCTTCTGCATATTGATACCCAGGGCTTCAGTAGCCTCAACTAAAGCTTAAAGCTAAGCCTAAAACAAAGCGCTATATCCTKGCCATTTTCCCAACAAATGATTTCCTTGTGAATTAGCACTGCCTTTTTTGTTTGCTTGTTTTGTGAATGTACCTTAGGAGGACCCAGGGTCTCAGCAAGGCAGCAGTGCTCCTTTTCTCTGGAGGGACTGAAGTCCATTGAATCCCCTGGAGAAAAGAGAATTAAAAACGGGGTTGAGTAGTTTTGTTTGAAAAGTTGGGCATTCCCTGATCAACCTACACAGGACTTTCAACCTCAATATGATAGGGTCGTCCACATGTCATGTAGGACAAGCAAAAAAAGCCTACAGAAGCTGTGCCTACTTCTTTCCATAGATCCACTTCTGCAAACTTCAGATCATTTTGATCTGTAGCATTTCTGCTGGGATGACTCTCTCTCTTACGGACAAAAAATAATCCATATTATTGGCATGGGCAGAAAAATCAAGGGATTCCTGAGTTTCATGACTTGGGTGCTGGGTCTATATAGGTCAAAACAGAGTAAAATACTTCTTAGAAATATTATTCTTTACTTGTGTATAACTTCATTACTGCTATTGACACCTGCACAACTTTCTATGGAAAAAAATCTTATGAAATAATTCTTCTCACTGGAAAATAACGCCTGCTCATTGTCTACTTTGAACTTRAGTCCTCAATATGTAAAATGTTAGCAGTATTATAGACAATATTCACCTCTATATCTGCGCATATGAAGAATTAACCTTAACAGGAGTTAGGAATGCATGCTGAAGAAAGAATACCATCCTATTAATAATTTTATTTTTTAAATTAATTTGAGATGCCAGAAATTTTTGTTCCATAATTTTTTTTTTTGTAAAATTTTGAATTAAGTCACTAATCATCATGCCTATTTATGCAGCACCTACTGTAACTGGGATTCAATYCTGATGGAGATCTCAGGGTGTGAGGGCAATATGAATATTAAAAACGAAGATATCTGAAGAATGATAGGTGATAATTAAATCATAGATGGTAAGATCAGAAAAGAATTCTCAGGTTATCTAGGGCATGTAACAAGCAAGATGTTTTCCCTACGTCAGACCTACTGGCACCTTATCTAATCTGTTCCTAAATGAATGCACAGTTGTACACGACTTTAATTCAGTTGCAACATCATATACAAATTGATGCAAATATCAGAGGCAAACCTTTCCCCTGAAACGATGAATCATGCTAAAACCTGCAGGTTTACTTTAGCAAAAGAGATAGGAATGTTCTTATCACCTCAAAAGAAACATTAAAGGCCAGAGTCCAACTTTTTTCTTACTAATTGCAAGTTTGAAATACTAAGTATTCCCTGGAAAAATTACAGTTGAGAGATGCTCCAGGTACACCTGGAATTAGATGATAGCTGTGGTGGAGTATTTTCACAAAAGGGTTGATCAAGGTACACACAGAAGGTACAACATGTTCTGATCTTAGCCATATATTAATTATGACTTTTCTTGCTAAGAGAGATGCTATCGCACTGGTCAAAGTAATATTGCAATGTGGCACTCAAATGTWTTTTTTTCCTTATGTTTTTCTTTAGAAATCCCAGACAACGCCATTCGCATTAAATCCATAAAGAATCTCGTAAAAAAGCTCCCTAGACCAAACTACGAGACAATGAAAATCCTCTTTGAACATCTAAAAAAGTAAGTGAAACTGGAGTACTAAAATACTGCTAATTTTAAAAGCACTTCCAAGTGTGGTGTCCAAATCCTATTGGAAATGTAATCCAAAATACCAAAAATAATTACGTTCTTTGACAAAACTAAATATGATTTTTGGTATCTATGTACATCCTATTTCACCTCAAGAGTCAGAGTGTCTAAGTGAAAGCATTAATTTTTCCTCTATTAGAAAATGAAACAGTAAGTTTCTTTGTGTGCTTTTAGACCCGGGTATTGGTTAAGAACAGGTAAATTGAATTGAACAAATACAACATGTTCCAGTGCATGTCTGACTTCAACTGCTCCTGCAACTAGCTAGGAAAAGCTAGGAAAGACTCCAAGCAGTGAAGTCTGTGCCAATAAAGAACATCTAGGAAATAAGACTGGGAGATCTGGGAGGGCACCTTTGCTTTCCTAATGTTTCTGAAATACAAGGCAGGAGAGGTGACACAGATTTTGTTCTACAAAAAGGCCATCGTGATGTTCCACCTGTTGTCATCGCTCCATGGTTTCTACACTCACCGCGCACAGTTGGTAGATGTTGGCTCACAAAAAAACCTCACATYTCATGTTCACGTTGGGCTTTCTGCTCTTGTTCCTGGCATTAGCTGCAAAAAATAGGCCAAAAGTAGGCCAAAAGATTGTTCTAAAGCAGACCTGTGGCTGTTTTATTTGCAAAACGACCAGGCAACAGTAAGGGACCAGAGGACAGGGGCATCCAGAGGGCAGGATCTGGTTCCTCCTCTCCTTGCTGTGCTGATGGAGGGGCTAACCACTGCCATTCTGCACAGCCACTTCTCAGCCAAATTACCCTTAAAATTGAAAGGACTAAGTAGTATCTAGGGCCCCATGCAGCCTCTGTACACAGAGGAGTATTTCATCCCGGGAATGATACATTGACCCCAGTGAATGAATAATAATGACTCCCAGTAAAAGACTGCTCCCAGCCCACAATGAATGATGCCTTTATGCTGACCATTCCAGCAGCATTCTCCTGAAATATATATATATATATATATATAATGGATGTAGATCCTTTATCTTCTTGCACAACTGCCAGGAACTACAAAATGAAGCGTATGTATCGCGGTGGGAATGTCCCCATTTAATTAGCATGGAAGGATTTTAAACAGTCTATAAAATGACTGAGTTTGGCCTTGAAGAAAACCGTTTTCCCATGTGTTCATCTGATGTTCCCTGTGATACATCCTCTCCTTCAGAAGGTTGTCTAGAGAAGGAAAATAATGGCTTACTGTCAATGGAAGAATAATAAGGGAAATTATTTCCTGGGAAGAACCCTCATGCAAGAAGCAGGTACATGCTGTCTAAATAGATATGCCATATATAAAACCAACTTCATTGTACGTGGCATTGATCCTAACCTGCAGAAACTTTTGTTACCATGTCTTAAGGGAATGGCATCAGGTATACCCGATAAATCTTTGATCTTAGAGTTAAATCACTTGATGGAGACTCGGGAGACCTGGGTTCAGTTCTTGGTTTTGACCGGATGTTCTGTATGACCTTGGCTAAATCATTTAATCTCTCCATGCCTTGGCTCCCTGTTTACAAAATGCTTCCTTTGTCTGCCTTGTCTATTTAAGGCATAATCACTTCAGGACAGCAATAGTTTCCTGCTGTGTATGTATAGAATAACTGACAAAACTGGACCAAGACTAGGCCTTGAGGGGGGAAAATAAAAACGAAAATACAAATAATTAAGTAGCAATACTTAATATGAGTACATATCTAGACGTGCATATGAGTACAATATCTAGATATGCTTATGCTAGGGTCGCTGCAGAAATATGGTGAAGGAAGAGGTATATTGAAGTGATGCAGTAGCGTGAGGATGGAAGAGATGGTATTTGGGTCATCTTGGAGAGCTGAGGGTTATGGAAGCAACCGGTCGTCTGAGTGTCTCTGGAGGAAGTCAACCTTCTGTGTCATGCAAACACATCCTCTGGGAAGGAAGGGATTATCCTCCGAGCCCATAACATCCAAAACTTGAGAAGATTAGCATGTTCTCACGAACTTGTCAAGAGGGGGAAAAATAAAGGCCAGACCGAATGGGCAGTCCAAATAGGTGGGGATGAAATAACAGTATGTGAGATTCACTCCAATGGATCCTTCAAAGGAAACCTGGGCAAAGCACTTGGTGGAAAAGCCTGGCAGAAAGCCCTGGCAGCAACCACAGCAGCGGGGATTAACACTGAGATCTTACCTGTGCCATACACCTTCCTTAAATCAAGCCCAAGGATGCTGCAAGGAGTCAATGTTGTTTACAAAGCCCATGGAAGAGGTATTAAAAGCAAAGCTTGGGCTCACGGCACCTGCGCTTTTAAGGATTTTATATTTGTATTTGATGAAAAAAACCCTGTCCCCCTACTCATCTTTGCATGAAATGTATTCAACTACAAACATAATGCATGAGCAAAAGAGACAAAATATACAGCTGAATAGACATATCACATAGCTCCTTCCAGTCTAACATCATAACAAATTGCTTTATATTGAAAATTGTTTTATATCTTCACACCGAAAATTGTYGAGCACAATGACTATTAGGTTTTTCATACTTCCCAGGATGAGCAAACCAAGCATATATTTTACACATAAAAGAAAAAAACAGTCTGAGTAGGGACTTTTCCAAATAAATAGCTACAGAAAACAGCCTATCCTACTTGAGTGTGTTTAGAGAGCCTTACTTGCTGTATATACCCCCTGTATTTATGTTTTTTGYGTTTGGGAAAACAGGGCCCCAGGTCCTCAGCTCCTTCCAGCTGCTTATTTACATGGGAATTTTACGCCCAGCCAGGGCAGGCAAATCCCAAAGAGGACATAAACCTGCTGTATCCTGCAGACCTTGGTCTGCAAGGGTGCAAGGACAACAAATGATGCCAAAAAGCGCCTTCCCTGCCCCATGGAGCCAACTCCTTCCCATCCACCTTCCAACCCAAGGAAGGGGCTCACTCTCCTGCTCAAATTCTTGATGATCACTGCTCGTCTCCATTGCCCTGGGAATAAGCTGCTCATCCAGAGCTGTTTATCTGACACAGACCTGCTGACGTGGAGGGAAAACGGGAAAACACTGTCAAAGGGTGGCATGTTGCAATGCTAAAACGCCTGCAAAGTTTTACTTTATTTTTTTTTTTTAAGTTGATGGAGGAGAGATGGAGCAAACATATGTGATTTTCACATCCTAAACTACGTGTCATATCAGCGGCTTCAGGCAGCCAGGCAGCCTTACATATTAAGCCTATGCTTAGGAGAACCCTCTTTTTTTTTTTTTTTTTTTTTTTTTTTTGCAAAGCAGAGAAACAGATTATATTAAGAACTACACAAGTATTTTTAAAAGAAAAGAAGTATATATACATTTAAATGAGAAAACAGCCCCAACAGAAGTGCCATAAGACTGATTTCAGAATCACAGAATATTTAAGGTTGGAAGGGACCTCTASAGATCATCTAGTCCAACCTTCCTGCTCAAGCAGGCACACCTASAGCATGTGGCACAGGGTGGCATCCAGGCGGGTTTTGAAGACCTCCAGAGTAGGAGACTCCACAACCTCCCTGGGCAGCCTGTTCCACTGCTCTGTYACCCTAACAGTAAAGAAGTTGCTCCTCACCTGGAGACAGAACTTCTTGTGCTTCAGTTTGTGGCCATTACCCCTTGTCCTATCGCTGGCCACCAGTGAGAACAGCCTGTCCCCTTCCTCCCTGCATTCTCCCTTCCTGAACTTGTACATATTAATCATATCCCCTCTGAGCCGTCTCTTCTCCAGAGAAAAAAGGCCCAGCTCACTCAGCCTCTCTTCATACGAGAGATGTTCCAKTCCCTTAATCATCCTGGTTGCCCTTCTCTGGACCCTCTCMAGAAGCTCCACRTCCCTSCTATACTGGGGTGCCCAGAACTGAACACAGTACTCCAGGTGCGGCCTCACCAGCGCTGAGTAGAGGGGCAGAATCACCTCCCTTGACCTGCTGGCAACACTCCTCCTGATGCAGGCCAGGATCCCATTGGCCTTCTTGGCCACGAGGGCACACTGCTCACTCATGGTTAACTTGGTGTCAACCAGGACTCCCAGGTCCCTCTCCGTGGAGCTGATTTCTCTTCAGCAAACCTCAGAAATCCMATGGGAGACCAAAGTTTTCATCGAGAAAAGCATCCAAGTTCAGGAATGCTCATAAACCCCTAAATCCTTAACTGAAAGCACTAGGAATTAAGAATATATGCTCAAATGATTAACTGAATTAGAGCCTTTCATAGACCTGAGCTGTTCTAACTCCTAAGCAGTGACAGGGAGGACTATAAACCTATTCCTGCGAATTTTGGATTTGCTGGATGCATCCACTCCCCTYTCTCTGTGACAAACACTTAAAAAATTACATGAAGAGCAGGGCAAGTATATATCAAGACACGCTCTTGCACACAAGCTTTACACTATTTGGACTATATAAAAGTTTTAGAGAGAAGCTGGCCCCAAACCAACACTTGTCCCATTCAGCTGAGCTGCGTCATGCTTGTTTTGGGGCACGAAAGAAGGAATTAAACCCATTTGTGGCCACTGAAGTACACTCATTTCTCCCCCTATCAGACCGCCAAGATGTGTGCATGAGTTAGGATTGTTAATAGTTATTGGATTAAAGGAAGAAATTAAACCCGAGTGCCCTAGAGCACCTCGATGTGTTTACCCCATGCTCACTTTGGTCCATGCACTTGTTGGGTTTGCAGCCACACCTGATCCCTCTTGCTGTGGAATAAGAGTTTTCAAGGCTCACCTTGGATACCTTCCAGCTCAGCAGGTTCAAAGCCAACAAAGACGAGGAATTAAAGCTGCATTTCCACCTGTGCTTAGATGCACTTTCTGATTGCATGCCATATTTAAAAATCCAAACCCTGATTTTCATAAGAATTGGGCAAATTCAGCACTACGGAGTTCCAAAATGCACTGCAGTGGTGCAGCAGAAAATAGCAGAAC